TATTCCCATCTCTTTCAGAATTTTCCAGTTTCCTGTGATCCACACAGTCAAAAGCTCTACCAGTCAATAAAGCAGAAATAGATGTTTTTCTAGAACTCTTTTGCTTTTTCGATGATCCAGCGGATGTTGGCAATTTGATCTCTGGTTCCTCTGATTTTTCTAAAACCAGCTTGAACATCTGGAAGTTCACAGTTGATGTATTAAAAACTGGTAGGGACTTTTCCCCATCGAGGGCTCAAACATGTGTCTCCTGTGGCTCCTGCATTAGAAGATAGATTCTCTACCGCTAAGCCACCTAGGAAGCCCTGGTGAGTACTGATACATAACTAAAACTAATTTGGATGAATTACTAAGCAATTAGTAAATATGTCAACTGCTAATCCAACATCACTTATACTGGGACTAAGATTTAACACAAAAATAGAAAGAAATTTGAAAAAATACGTTTTAATACCAAGGGAGAGTACCAGACAAGCTATTAGAACAAGAGCCATTATTAAATAGTTCAGAATAAATTTTATAAGGCAAATAAAGCTGAAGAGAAAATCTATACTGTAAGAATAAACAAGTATCAGGTTGTTCCTAAACTACAAATTCCCTGACATCAACTTACAGCAGAAGTTCATTCTACTGAAGGTCTTGGCACTCTTCCAACAATGAGTAAAAGTAACTAAACCAGAAGTGCCAACACTGCATTAACTCCAAGATTTAAAATTTAATACATCAAGCTAAGATCCTGAAAGATTTCTATAAAAGATTAACATTAAACACTTTATAAGATATAAACAACGTGAGAACTGTGGATCCTTTCCACCCAGCCCTGCACCAGAGATAAAACCTTTCCAATTCCTCGATCCCAACAGCAGAGAGATAAAACTAACACTGTAAGGGGGAAAAAATGGAATCATGCTCATAGGAACGATGAGGAGGATCAACTAAGTAGTGAATATCCCCAAAGTTCATTAGTCAGTAGACTTTAACTACCTTAAGAGATCATGGTACTTGGATCACTTCTAATGACTGGATATTGGATATAAGATGTTATTAACGCTTTTAGTCTTCTCAACTACACACAGACCCTACCATAAGAAGTCAGTGTTGAAGAGTAGTTCCTTCCCTTATTCAATCTTAGAAAACTTTATTTTCAGGCATTTGATAAACTGAAAAGGCTTCTGAGAACTTCAAGAGTTCAGACACAATAAAAAAATTTTTAAGTGATACAAAGTTTTGAAGTAAATCAGAATTGTTCAGCCTAAGAGTTAAGGTAGTTAAAAGGATTAAACTTAAAACACATACAATCATCATTCAGGTCACTGATCTCACCAGATCCATTGAATATGGTAACACAGTCCCATAAACTTTGACTGTAATATTCATGAACCATGAAGAAAACAAAAGTGTTATATTCTTCAATGTCAGCACCTCTGTTATAAACTAGAATAGGCTTCCAATACTTTCAGTAGCTCAAAATAATGTCTAGCCATAGCTAAAAATTCAGACCTAGGTAACATCTGAGTCTTAAGAAACCTGTGCAACCTTGTTTTTCAAACATTTTAAAATTAAATTTTCATCTGTAGGTATACATCCAGAACAGATTTTGGATCTCCTCTCATGGTACAGTAAAAGCACACTTCTTGAAGTAAATTATGTCACCATACCGACATAATTTTTTTTTTAAATTTTCCTATTTTATGAAAAAAAAGTTTATTTTTACCAATGAAATGGTAAAATTAGAGGCAATTATAACTTAAAATTACATAGCTTCTTAATGTTTTATTCATAGCATTCTTCATACAGAAGCTTCACTGATATTTAATTTACTGCAGCATCCTGTTGGTGAAGCACAAAAAATTACATTATAAACAAAGAAACAAAGCACTTTGACTTTTTAAAATTATATATATATTTATATCCAGTTGACAAATAGCATCACAATTATTACTGTATAAAAAACTAAAAACCACCATGTAAGCTAAGGCCTAAGTTCTTAATCCAACTGTTCCCTTCTGTTACTATCTAAGAGATATAAGAAATTAAATTCCAGTACCTCAAAAAAAAAACAAAAAAAAGTCTACATTATTTACATACAGTATGGAAAATAAAAGCTGCTTTTTGGCTAAGTTAGATTGCTGGTATCTACATTATTTACATTGTAAGTATTAGAGGGAGAAAGCACTACTAACAAATACCATTTCAAATGAAAATATATTTTGCCTGGAATTTTGTTCTAAAATTAACTGTACATCATAAGTGTCTGTTGAAGAGAATTTGATTTCCCATAAATCTATTGAAAATTTAGACAGTTCCACTATGCTTCTTTATATTGCTAATCTAGACAGTGTTAAGTACAATATTGTAATAAGCACTGAAGCTTAAATGAAACGATGGCAACATGTGTGTAGATGGAATTTTATTTAAAACTGTAAAATATAATGCCTTAATATTTACCCATAATTACGAGACTATCTAATATTCTTTTCATCCTTTAAGTAGTTTCATATATGACAGTTCCCTAAAACAGTGAAACCTTCCAGTAACTTACCAGAAAAAAGTTTCATTATATTATTTTGCTTGCAGAATTACTTTTCTAACATTAAAAAACATATCTAAACCCTTGGCAAAAACAAACGCAATCAATTCAGTGTAACAGACTGAGCTTTAAACTGTATTTTAATTATCAATTAACTGTAACCTATTGGTTAACTGAACCAAAAGTAGAATTTTAAATGATCTGCTATGAAACTTTTCAAATCAATTATAGAATGCACAGAAAAGTGGAGATAAATTTTGGGGAAGGTGTATGGTAGTAAATGTGGAAAATAGTAAATGCTAGTTTTAATAACAAAAGTTGCACTAAATGTACATGAAAGTTAAATTAACACAGTATAAAAGAGAATAGCTTAAATAAACTGGGATTCACATATTACAATAGCAAAGTTATGACCGAATGAACTGAAGACATGAACAGTTCTGAAAATTCTCTTTCAGCCTACTTCCAAAAGAAATAGTCAGGCTTTTTTCCTGTACATAGTTTTGAGCTTTGTCTATACCATATATAGTAGAAAAATAAATTCTTTAGCAACCTAGAAACAGTTTATAAAACTCTTAAAGTTTAATTTTCTTTGCCAGACATGCTGATGTTAAACTGACAGCTATAAATTAAAGCTATATAGACAATAGGTATAAGTAATATAGAACAAGAATACTACATTTACCAGATTTTTCTTTTTAAAAATTACTGTACTTTCTTAATTCCTGTGTGCTTTGCAATAGGAATAATAGGGACTTTGTTTTCTTAGAAAAGATAATAACACGTAAGAGTATAACACAAATAAGATAGTTTATAATATACATGTACTTCCACAGCAGCCTGGTTCATGTCAACATCTTGATTCTAAAGTCAAAATCAGAAGTACAATACCTAGGACATAACAGTTGGGAAAGACAGTATTTATTTTAGGAAAAAATGGAGCCAATCAAACTCTTAGGAGCCTCAAATCTCAAAATCTATTTACTATAGTATACATTAGACAACCTTAAAATCGCAGTATGAAGATTACAACATGGACTGAAGAAATTTTTCTTTACTACACAAAAATATAACCTAGCAACAAAAAAACCACATTTTTTTTCCTTTCTGGGGAAAAAATAAAAAGGTGTGGTTTGATAATGAACAAATTTTGCATAAATCCTAACAAAATTTACCTATGCCACTTAATTCTGAAAATTTTATCCGTAATTTAGTGTTCTGGTTGTAACTTTGCTAACAATGTTTAACCTCCAAAGCAGCAGTCATTTACAGCAAATCTGGTACCAACATCAAAGGAAAATAATTGTTTTACAAAATGGTGCAAAAGCCACTTTGGATTTTAGTACAACATATCACAGAAAAGAATATGAATACAAGTTTGCAACTTTATATATACATACTCCAAAGAGGCTGTCAGTACCCAAAGTATTTTTATTGCTATATTAGCAATGGATTTTTGGATATGTTTTTTAAGGGCCACATAAAAATAGAATCAAGGGACAGATTAAATTGAAGTCCTAGATTAAAATGTTTGGTTTAAAGAATTTTCTACAACAAATTTCATGTTTATGTATGAAAAGTTATATAACCTTATATGAAAATGTCATGAAGTATTTTCTACACTATACTAAATGTATTTCCCAAGAGGGAAAAAATTAAAATATCTAAAATATATTAGATTAAGATTACAAGACCATAATAGATCTTTTGAACATGCATCTGTTTACAGAATTAACAGTATACAAGATGTTGGTTTCATTATGGACTATAAAGAAATGAGTTGGTGACAACTATCCTTTGCACAACATTATCAACTCACTTTAGCCACAAGCATGTCCTTGGTATGTGTGTACAAGAAATATTTTCATTTACCCCCATCAAATCATCCACAGGTTTACTTAGAAGATGAAGGTGCAGAAATATGTTAAAAGTATTTTTCTTTCTTTCAAACAACATCCCAAGCATGGCATAAGTAGTAGCCTGAAATAATAAAATACTTAACTGGGCTTTTAGTTATCTACACAGACTGCTAAAAGTAAATTAAGCTGCTCAAATTAACACATCAAATAACAAAACCAGCCATAAAGCAGGCTGGAAAGCATTAAATGTTTCATATATGTGAGTTTTTAAATCATTTAATTTCTATAGAAAAATTTTATTCACAATATAATGTGACAGAAAATGCCACAGGAATGATATACTGATTGCAATAAGGTTGCATGCAACAGCAGCTTTGTATTTTATAGCTATTTTTGTTTATAAAAATTAAACCTCTCAGTCATGCTTATCACATGGTCTTAGATTTGTAATGTAAATGAGTAAGGAATACCATACAGTTTAAAGAGGAAATGTCTCATCATTTTGAATGTGAATTATCTGTTAAGAAACATGAAGTATACTACTGAACCCTGAAACATGCATGTCTAGATTTGCTTTTGTCCAATTTCCGGCTGTCTGCAATTCTCCTTACTTATATAATACCAAGAGGATCCGTCTGTAACTGTGGTTGTATCAGTTGAGGTTGCAATGGTGGTGGTAACTGAAGTGGTACCATTGGTTCTACCAACTGTCCTGGGTTTGAAGGTGGCGGTGGAGCCACAGTGTTTGCAGTTTCCACAATTTCTCCATTGTAAAAGAAAAACTGACACTGTTGGATGAATGTTTCAACAACGGATTGATGGATCTTGGTGGTAGACAGAAATTCTCGATTTTCAAAATCAGGTCTCATTAAAGTTGGCCAAAAACAGATGGATAAGTTGTCTGCTGTCATTAAGTTGACTTTATTATGTTGACTGACCCTGAAATTATGATATAAAAGAACAATTAGAAACCAGTCAAAACTCACTACAATGAAAGAATTCAGGAGTTGGAAATTATTTCTGATGATTTGGTTTTATTATTGTTTTTTTTAATCTTAACTTCAAATTTGAAACGTTTTATTCTTGTGCATTCCATGTTCAACTACATTCTAATAACAGAAGACAGCAGTAAAATCCATTCCTTATGAGAATCAAAGATGGTTTTTACTTCCAGAAAAATTATTCTATCTCCAACCAGGATACTTTTTAACTTTCAAAAAAAATTAAGTTTCTAGTATTCTAAAAAAACAATCTTTTTAATTATTGACTACCTTGCACATCACCACAAATTTCAATGACAACATTCACAGAAGCACATTCTACCTTAAAACGCTTATGATTCAACAATAAACAATTTACAAATGATCATATATTACTAATTTTCACTTAGTCTTTTAAATATGTGAGTAAGCATTACTACCACCATATATAAAAATCAAGAAGAAGCAAATCTTGAATTTTAACTCAACATTATTAAATGGGCAGGAAGTTTTAGATATTTTATCCAACCCTCTCATTTCACACATAAAGAAATAGCTCAAAACACAAAGTAGCAGGAAAATTTTATACTTAACTGTGCATATCAAAAAGTTTAAAACTTAAACCAAAGGACCCACATCCCCAAACATAGGAATTGTTCATCTGAGGTAAAATAAATGCCCTAAAAACATGTGTTCTGTGGTAAAAAGGCATTATCTTTTGTAAAGAGACTAAATTAGAATATTCAGAATAAAATCAACCTTTTCTTAAAATACAGTGTATAGTGGGGCCCAGTCAGGTATGTCTGTGTGGTAGTCAAATAAAGATTCTGAAAATGCTCATAAATTGGAAAGACATGAACTTGGGCAAGTCTAATCGTTGAGTCAAAACAAACAAACAAAAGGGAGGTAATGTTTGAGTTGAGTAAAGGGTCGTGGGTGCTAGTAAAACACTAGGAAGAGTACTTCAGTCAAAACAGTGGTTCTCAAATACTAGAAAGCTGAAGTAATCAAACAGCATGGTATTGGCATAAAAACAGACACATGGATCAATGGAATAGAACAGAGGGCCCAGAAATGAACCCACACATCTATGGACAATTAATCTTCAACAAAGGAGAATACACAATGGAGAAAAGACAGTGTCTGCAGCAAGTAGGAGAGCTGGACAGCCACATGTAAATCAGTGAAGTCAGAACACTTTCTCACATTATACAAAAAAAAAAAAAAAGTCAAAATGGCATAGGACTTAAGACATGAAACCATAAAACTCTTAGACGAGAACATTTGCAAAACACTCTGACATTGTCATTTAGTCACTAAGTTCTATCTGACTCCTTTGTGACCCCATGGACTGTAGCCCACCAGGCTCCTCTGCCCATGAGATTTCCCAGGCAAGAATACTGGAGTGGGTTGCCATTTTCTTTTCCAGGGGATCTTCCTGACCCAGGGTTCAAACCTGTGTCTTTTGCATTGGCAGGCAGATTCTTTACCACTGAGCCACCTGGGAAGCCATATTCTCTGACATAAATCATAGCAATGCTTTCTCAGGTCAGCTGCCCAAGGCAATAGAAATGAAAGCAAAAATAAATGTGACCTAATCAAGCTTACAAGCTTTTGCATAGCAAAGGAAACTATAAACAAAATGAAAAGTCAATCCATGGAATGGGAGAAAATATTTGCAAACAGTGTCATCGACAAGGAGTTAATTTCAAATACACAAACAGTTCATACAACTCAGTATCAAAAAAAGCCACAAAACAAACCCAATCAAAAATGGGCAGAAAACCTAAATAGACATTTCTCCAATGACATACAGATGACCAAAAGGCACATAAAAACATGCTGAACATTACTAATTATTAGAGAAATGCAAATTAAAACTATACTGAGATACCATCACACACTACTCAGAATGGCCATCATCAAAAAGTCTACAAGTAATAAATGATAAGGAGGGTGGAAAGTGAACCCTCCTAAACTGTTGCTGGTGGGAATGTAAATTGGTGCAGCTACCATGGAGAACAGTATAGAGGTTTTTTTAAAATATTAGAGTTGCCATATGATCCAGCAATCCCACTCCTGGGCATACATCCAGAAAAGATGAAAACTCTAAACTGAAATGATATATCCACCCCAATGTTCACAGCAGCATTATTTACAACAGCTAAGGCATGGAAGCAACTTAAGTGTCCATCAAAAGATGAAAGGATAAAAATATGGCAAATATATATACACAATGGAATAAAAAAGAATGAAATGATGCTATCTGTAGTTAATGAATGGACCTAGAGACATACTAAGAAAAGTAAGTCAGAAAGAGAAAACACCATACAATATCACTTATATGTGGGATCTAAAAAATAAAATGATACAAATGAACTTAATTTGTTCAAAACAGAAACAGATTCACAGACATAGAAAACCTATGGTTACCAAAAGGGAAAGGGTAGGAGAGGAATAAATGAAGACTTTGGAATTAACAGATACACATTACTACATATAAAATACAAACACAATAAGGCCCTACTGTATAGTACAGGAACTATATTTGATATTCCATAATAACCTATAATGGAAAAGAATCTGAGAAAGTATGTAATTGAATCACTTTGCTGAACATCTGAAACCAACAAAACATTGTAAATCAACATTAAAAAAAAAAAAAAAAACCTCCCAGTGGTTCTCAGTGTGTATCAGAATTTCCTGGAAAGCCTTTTAAAACACAAGATTGATAATTATGTCCTGGGTGGGATCTAATAATTTGCATTCCTAACGAGTGCCCAGGTTTTGCTGATGCTGCTGATTTGAGGACTGAATGTTGAGAAAGACTAAGGCAGTCATTGAAAAGGATCCAGGCACAAATTGATACTTTTTGTTAAATGCTGTTAGTTTAATACAGTGGCACTGTAATAATAACATGGTGGAAACGGAAAGGAAATTTAACAGAATAAGTTAGAACTAGGCCACTTAAACAATTTGGATTTTTTTCTTCAGGATATAAGTGATCTTTACAGAAAGAGTTTTCAGAACAATCACTCTGGCATTGTGATCAAAGGAGAAAGAAAAACTGGCAGAGAGAGCTCAATGAAAAACTAGAGTTCCCTAAATGAGAAATGATGAAATTAAAACTAAAGCAGTGGCAGAGGAATGAAAAGGAAAAATAATTAGGAGAAAAAACTAATTTGACACAGTAACTCACTGAATACGAAAGGTGAAAGAGAATATATTTAAAGAGCAACACTATGGATTAATTTTTGCAATTTGTCAATCACCCATCATATATTTATCATTTATTTCCTATACTAGAATGTAAGTTCCATGAAATGTGTGATTATTTTATTTACTGATGTGTGTACAGCACTTATGAGAGTACCTGGCACAAAGAGTAAACCCATTATCGTCAATAATTGAGTGTTTCTTTTAAAATTTAAATCTGATGATACAATTTCTCTATTCTACTTTCTAGTGGCTCCCCATACCATTCAGAGAAACAATCATGCAATGTTTTTTTTTCATTGACACTTGGTCCCCACCCAACCCCTGTAAATGTCAGCTGAACTCAACAGTGAAATTAGTGATATACATGAAAGCAACCTTCTTGTGAAAATATTTTGAGGACTAAAGCTAGTCAAATAGGTTACATTCTGAGTAGTAGTGTCCTTTCCTTCACTCTGCTCAAGCAACGTATGCTTCTTTGCTATTCCTCAATGTATCAAAGGTGCCTGTTGTCACTAACTGTTGTATCACTGGAGTCAAATACACTAATAAGTGTCTAACATAACACTGATGGTGGACCAGCACATGATTCTTTTAACATGCTCTTTCCTTTGTCCCTTTTCCATATTATTTTTTAATGAAGTTCAATTCTTATTTCAGCACTTCAATCAAACTATAAAATAATATGTTCATATACCATCCCAACATTCCATAATAGATAACGTCTCTTATAGTACCATGTACACATCTGTTAAAGCATGAACCATCTGTATGGTAATTTTCAAAAGAGGAATTCCACTAACTGTACTGCAGTGCTATGTATGCTGGTATTTACTCAGAAAGGGAGACCTCAGAGAAGTTACTAGAAATGTTTATAATTTTATGCTACTCTGATAACAACAAAACTTTAATAATCTCTTTTAAGAGGTACAGACTGAAATGTACTTGTTTTGGACACTGACAGTATTAGCTTAAAAAAACCAAACATGAGTTCATTTCAATGTCAGTAGAAAATATTGTGAAGGGTTGACTCAGTCTCAATAACAACTCTGTGTTATTCTTCTCACTCTTATACAGTCAAGAAAATCAAGACTTAGGAAGGGTTAAAAAATTTGTCCAAGGCCACAAAGCTAAAAATGTTTCAAAACCAAACCTATTTAACTCCAAAGTCTTGAGGTTTATCCCATTATACAATATCAATATTTTCTTTCATTTAACATATGATATTGGCAAGAATTTCTTTATAGAGAAAAGCATGAACTTGAAGCTTTATATTATTTAAGGTTTTTTATATTGGATAATGTTATGCATTTCAGTCAAGAAGGATGATAATATGAATTCAAGTTTCTAATAGACTTTCACTATGAAGACTATCCAAACAAAACAAGCAGGATATACAAACGAAGAGGGAATTAAACCACTTAATAAAATCTGGATTCTAATCGTAAGACGTGTCACTTGAGCATATGATTTCTCTCTTTAAATCTCAATTTTTCCAACTTCAAACAGGTTGATTCAGTTAATTATCTAAGTGTCATTTTGTAACTAAAATTCTAAGATTCTATAGAAAAGAACTGTTAAAGAACAGCAATGACAAAAAAAGTACTCACCACACTTACTTTTTATATAATCATTACATATACTAAAAGGGTCATATATCTTTCTATAAAAAGGTTAATGAAAAACCTATTTTACAAATCCAAGAAAAAATGATCTAGAGATTCAAAATTGAACTGTGTGTTTAGTTTGTCTCTATCTTAAAATTATCCAATTTATAGTTACATGTTGAAATCTATAGTGCATTTTACTTGCAAAAACAAAAAATAAAAATACCTGTTTAGATGTGTTATTATATATCTGAATACATCATAGTTAACAGGATGAAATTTCTTAACAATTTCTCTCAGTGCATGAAGACGTTCTGTTTTATCCAGGATTTCTGTAAAAGTAGTGAGGAATTTGCATGAAACACAGACATTAAAAAATATTGATAAAGCTTCTTACTATGCTTATTTTCTAAAACAAGAATGTGTATGAAATATTTTAGGAGAGGTAAACAAAAACAAAGAAAATACAAAGCTAATAACTGAAAAAGTAACTTGGGGATGGTGAAATGGTGTATTAGTAATTTTTTGAGGCAACATCTAACTAGATACTGACTTAGAATCAACTAATTACTAATAAATCTGTTGAGCTCTTAATATTCATGGTACAAAGAGTAAACATTTTAGGCTCTGTGGGTGAAACTATTCAACTATGCAGTTGTACAAAAGCAGCCATAGACAATATACAACAAGAGTGGCTTTGTTCCAATAGAACTTAAAAAAAAAAATCTGAATTTCATATAATTTTAACATATCATATAATTTTTTCTTTTAACATTTTCAACCATTTAAAAATGTAAAAAAAATTTTTACTTGCAAGCCTTCTGAAAACTGATGGCAAGCTGAATTTTTGGCCTATAGGTCAGTTTGCCAGCACCTGATTTAAAGCATCACCATATACTTATTTATAATTCACTTAGCTTATCAAACATCTTTTTTCACAATTACTACAGCAATTAGTTACTTTTCAAATTTATGCAAATTATGAATCAGGGTAACTGAAAGGCGGTTCTGCTGTAAATAGGAGGACAGAAGAGAGCACCCTTACTGCTGCTCTTCCTCATTCACTTCTTTCTTCCAAACTAACAGTGGGTTCCTCTGGAGGGGTCCAATCCGCATAGCAACTCATGGCAGGTAGTACAAATACCACTTACTGTGTATTAGTCACTCAGCTGTGTCTGACTCTTTGCAACCCCATGAACTGCAGCCCATCAGGCTCCTCTGTCCATGGGATTGTCCAGGCAGGAATACTGGAATGGGTAGCCATTCCCTTCTCTAGGGGATCTTCCTGACCCAGGGATCAAACTCAGATCTCCCACACTGCAGGCAGATTCTCTATCATTTGAGCCACCAGGGAAGCCCAAAAATCAAGTACGAACAAATGTCTCATTTGCCACATATTATTTCTAAATCAGCCCTCAATAATTTCCTAACTAGGAAAGTTCTAATGCTATTTTTACAGTCAAAAAGTAAGAAAATCTAAGCTATCAAATGGACTATTTTCCTAGTTTATATATGAAACTATGTATAAGGCAACTGCATCATGTGCCAATATATTGAAGTAGATTTTAATTAAAAGAAAATTAACTGAGAACTCTAACAATCAAAATTGTAAGAAAGTAACTTCACTCTAAAGAGCCTGAAGACTTGGAATCAGAAGGACATACTGAAGAGAAATATTTAGAAACTAAATACTGAGAACACAATAAGGATTAAGCACTAGGTTACCTGACAGTCAAATAGACCTTTTTTCTCATTTTCCAGATAACAAATGAGTATCTGCTAAGTAGAAACATCTGGATGAATGGTGATGCCAAGTATGAATCAATACTGAATAGGTATTCATTTTCCTGTATAACTCTCTCAAAAACTGACTTAAGACAGGAGACCAAAGTTAATTTCTTTGACTTAAAACCTGTATTTTACTAAAGTATGTTACAGATACATTCATTTGAAGAATTAATTTCTTTTTCCTACAATGCCTTTAAGTTTGAATTAAAACACAAACCTCAAACTTCCAGCACTATGATCTAACTTCTAGGAGCACCTAGTCATCTAGGAGGCTAGCTAAAACTGTTTAATGGGAAAGAACTTTAATCAACAGCTCTAGAAGCTGAATTTTTATTTGCTACACATTCTATGGAATGACCTATTTTAACACACAGCAACCAATGTACAAAGCCCACTATCATCGTCCTTCTCAAAAAAAAAAAAAAAAAAAAGAGACTTATACTTACTTGCTGCTTCCAGTAGCTCTGGATGAAGAGAATATGGAATTAAAGGATCTGGTAGATCTGCAAAGAAAGCTTTAAGAGCTCCAGCTACAGCATTTACTGTTACTTCCATTGATACTAGACTGATATTATGATCTACAAGACAAAAATTGAAATTAAAAATTATGATAAATTTAAATTCATTACTAGAAGTAAGCTAAATGGGTATTGAACAACCAAAGATATTTAAGTCTTCTCATTGATCACCTTTATTTACAGGCAGATTCATCTCTCCCCCATTGTTTTAATGTAAGTTTGCCTGATAAAACTACAGATAATAAAAGAGAAAACCAAGCAAGGAGCATTTTCTGTTACAATAAAAAAAACCTATTAGGCTTATTAGTATACAGGCAATATTATTTAACATCTCTCTTCTCTTAAAACATTTTGTTTAATGTAAGCTATTTAAAAGAGGTCATAAGGAAACAGAGACAAAGAAGATAGGAATCATACATATAAATTCAAGCTTCAACCTTTTAACTTATACTTTAAAAAACTTTAATATAAAACACTTTAAACACTTATCAGTGAAGGTCTGACTTTAAATAAACAAGAACAGAACACAGTAAAGGTGTATTATAAGGTTGATTTGCTATTTTAAAGTCTTATTTTCCTTTTATAAATACAATGAATACTTATGATAAAGAAAAAATTACCCCCATAATCAAGAGATAATCACTGTTTATACTTAGCATGTTTCCTTTCATCCCTTTTCTGCTCATTTGAAAAAAAAAAGATGAATCATATATGTATTTTCTATTGAATTTCATTTTTAAGGCATTATCCAAAGTTATTAAAATTTCACCAGCAGCTGTTAAAAATTTTTTGAGGGAGCAGGAAACATTTCATTGCAATTTCAAGCTTGTAGAAATTCTGCAATAATAATATAAAAATACAAAGAACTCACGCATACCCTTAACCAAGAATCACCAATCTTTACATTTTGTCCTACACAGAAACAATTTTGACTATAAAACATTCTCCCAGACATAAAATTTACATAATATTCTACTACTGAAGATTTAGATTTATTTCATTTAAAAAACTATAAAGATGTTAGGATTAAAAACTTGTATTTACTAAAGTTTACTTCCTTAGGCAGGCTACATTCCTTGAAATATAAGCTACCCAGTGAACATTTAACATGGTGTCTGGCACAGAAAACTCATCATAGCATTATCTCATTATTCTTCGGTCAGTTTTATCACTCCCATTCTAGATCATGAAAAAGTTGCTGTTTAGGAAGATTAACTTCCAGAGGTCACAAAGACAGTAAGTGACTTCCCAGGTGGCGCTAGTGGTAAAGAACCCGCCTGCCAATGCAGGAGATTTAAGAGATGTGGATTTGATCCTTGGGTTGGAAAGATCTGAAGGAGGGCACAGCAACCCCCTGCAGTATTCTTGCCTGGAAAATCTCATGGGCAGAGGAGCCTGGCGGGCTGCAGACCATAGGGTCGCAAATAGTTGGACACAACTGAATCAACTTAGCACAGTAAGTGGTAGAACTAGAAAACAGTAAACCAGAAAGTCTAAATCAAGAGGCCCTGGTACTGACTATTCTTCTTTTATTACTTAGAAGTAAAATTGTACAAATTTGATAAAGTCTAAACAGTTCTTGTAACAAAATACTTTTTAAAAGTGAAACACTGACAATACTCTTTGAAAGCAAAGCACACACACCTCCTTCTCCAACACTCAACAATTTTACCATTTCAACACACATAATCTTCATTATTCTATATGGTTATCTAGTATTCTATTTGTAAACATGAGTGGACTCCCCACCTTTAAAACAAAATACAAACAATGCTACAATAAATTTCTTGGTAGGTTTACACAAAGACTTGTAACATAAATATTTATGTTACAAAATGGAATTTCTCCAGCAAAAGCTATCTAAAGTACCCATAACCAATAATATACAACAAACCTGTTTGCCTATGCCCTACCAATAATCTTTTCCATTCTCATAATAAATACAACCTTTTAAATTTTTATTTATTTATAACTGACAGAGGTTGAGCATATTTTCATATGTATGTTGGTTCTTCTGAAATGAATTGCTTAATCTAGCAAAGAAATTCCATAGCCCCACTAGGTTTACAGTTTTTCTCCTGATTTTGTTTTATCCACTGTTCCATACAGAAGTTTTTACATTTTTAGGCAGTCCAGTTTATCATCTTGTTCATGCTTACTAGGTTTCATGTTAAGTTTAGGCCTCTCCCTACTCCAAGATTATAAAAATATTCACTCATTTTTCTCCCTAGTACATACAGCTTTCATTTTTTTCACTTATATCTTTGATCTTATATAAAATTAATTTGAGTAGGAAATTCAGCTTTTTAAAAAATCCCTAATTAGTCAGTTGGCACATATCATGAAAGAAAAAAAACACTTTCAAATTGCACCTAAAGGTAAATCTGCATACACAAAGATGATGATGCATCATAATTCAATTTACTGCTTTTCCAATTCTGGTAATGGATTTATAGCTCTCCTGTTTCTTGACTCTGGTATCTGTTTGATTAAATACTCCTAATACTACTTCAAAACTTTCTCCTATAATACATAATCATAAGGAGGTTTTCATATGAAATTTCAATAAGGAAACTCACAAAATGATGATTTTGTCTTATATAATTATCTTTTTACCTTGATCAAACTGCTTTTGAATATTGTCTTGATCAGTTTTGTTCCCACTAACACGGTAGAGTCCTTCAGTACATAATCCTAAAATAAAGAAAGAGACTTTTGTACATGCATATATAGGTACAACGAAGAATATACTTAATCTTATGTACAACTTAGTGACTTACAAAATATGGTGGTAAATATTTTTAGTAATAAAATAATTTTGAACATTTCATTTAAAGTAAGTTCACAATGGACTATTTTAATTTTAAACCAGTTAGGCTACTCAGTTCCATGCAAAAAAATGAGAAGAAACATTCTTCCCATTTCTTTTACTAAATACAACCAATTTCCTGACTGTGATAATATTGAAAAAAATCAAGACACTGAAAGGTGGAGAGAAAGTGAATTAACAGCAACTTTAAGAACTTGAAAAACAACATGACTGAGTTCTCTGGGTTTTCTTTTTGCCTTGTACATCTGAGACCAGGCAACAGAGAAGCCTGCAACCCAGAAACCCTGATGAACACAGGCAAAAAAATAAAAATAACAACAAACCACCACTCAGAAAACCAACAAGAAAAGCCTGCTCTCTCTGGTGAAAGGAATGGGAAAGGTGTAGACTAGCAAGCAAAATCATTTTTTAATTACTGCCCTACTCCAGCCAAACACCATGGAACCTACTCCTCCTCATTCACAACAATGGCAACCAAGTAGAATTCTACTTTAGCCAGCAGTAACAAAGGTGTCCTTTCCCTTTCAAGATGTCAGCAAGGGCTGATTGAAGTCTGAAGTTTTTAACTACCACCTTGAGGTAAGAGGTACCCTCCCCTCTCCACCACAGTGGTCAACAGAGGCTGTTGGAGATCAAGCAGGGTGGGGAGTCCAATCTTTTAGCCTCACTTTATAGTAAGGAGGCAGTCTTCCTCCCCTGCTAGTATGCTGTCAGAGGAGGCCTGTTAAAAACAGATTTAAATAAGACTCAAAGTTTCACAGCATACTATTCAAAATCTGGAATAAAACCATAATAAAATGAAAATCATTCATCATTTCAAGAATCAAGAAAATCTCAACCTGAATGAGAAAAGACAATTAACCTACACCAACACAAAGCTGCCAGTTGTGGAATTATCTGATAAGGATTTCAGAGCATCATAAAACACTGGTGAACAATTATAAACACACTTAAACTTCCTAACAGAAAGTTTCAGCAAAGAAACAGAAATATAAGGAACAAAATGGAAATTTCAGAACCAGAAATACAGTAACAGAAACAACAAATTCATTGAATGCAATCAACAACAGAAAAATGATGACAGAGAAATGAGAAGTGAATTTGAAGACAAACAACAGAAAGTATCCAGTCTAAAGAACATAAAGAAATTAGACACACACACACCAAAAAAAGATGAGCTGCAGGGATTTGTGGGACAACAACAGAAGAGCCAAGATGTGTATGTATCATCAGCCAAAGACCTCTCTCTATGTTCAACGGGAAACTTCTAAAAGAGACTCAATTTGATAAGGCATTGTACTTTTCTGATCACAAGGATGAGAAAAAGAATAGAATAGTGGATTCTGTCAAACTTATTTCTGGAGCAATGTCAAGGTGCCTGTATGGGACAATATATTAATCCTTTCTAATTTTCATCAGGTTAAATTATTTTATTAATATTTTGTTTTATAAATTTCACAAATATCTTTACATACGAAGATGTGAAAGAGGAAAAAATGTACCTCACAATGCAGGAAACACATCAACATTGAGAAATTCATGAACATAAAGGTAAGGAAAGATCCCCTAGAGAAGGAAATGAAAGCCCACTCCAGTATTCTTGCTCGGAAAACCCCATGGACAGAGAGAGGAGCCTGGCAGGTGTAGTCCAGAGGACTGCAAAGAGTTGGACTCAACTGAGTGACTGAGCACAAACACGCAATGGTAGCAAAAATCTACGGACAAAAGTTTCATGGGTCAAAGTTATTAAATCCAAAGTTTTAACTTCAATAAAGCACAGCAGACACCATCAAATAACCAAAATTATCACTTACTATGGGACAAAATAACATCCTATCCCAACAACTCAACACTCTAAACACAAAGATCATAGCACCCAGTCCCATCACTTCATGGCAAATAGATGGGGAAAAAGTGGAAACAGTAACAGACTTTATTTTCGTGGGCTCCAAAATCACTGTGGACAGTGACTGCAGCCATGAAATTAAAAGACGCTTGCTCCTTGGAAGAAAAGCAATGACAAACCTGGACAGCATATTAAAAAGCAGAGACATTACTTTGCCTACAAAAGTCCATACAGTCAAAGCTATGGTTTTTCCAGTTGTCATACATGGATGGACAATGAAAAAGGCTGAGTGCTGAAGAATTTATTCCATCAAACTGTGGTGCTGGAGAAGACTCTTGAGAGTCCCTGGGACAGCAAAGAGATCAAACCAGCAATCCTAAAGGAAATCAACCCTGAATATTCACTGGAAGGACTGATGCTGAAGCTCTAATACTTTGGCCACCTGATGCAAAGAGCTGACATTGGAAAAGACTCTGATGCTGGGAAAAATTGAAGGCAGGAGGAGAAGGGGACAACAGAGGATGAGATGGTTGAATGGCACCATGGACTCAATGGACACAAGTTTGAGCAAACTCTGGGAGGGATAATGAAGGACAGGTAAGGCTGGTGTTCATGGGGTCACAAAGAGTCGGACATGACTGGGCAACTGAACAACAATACCAACAGATATGATGCACTTAGATACAACAATACTTTAGTGGTATTTATAAATAAAATGCATAATTTGAATCCAATGATGAGGAAAAGCAACCTCAAATTGATGGAGAAAGAAAATGTTTATTTGTATGTGAATTAAATCATCCAAAGTATACATCCTGGGCCTCCAAGTAATATAGGCATTAGAAATTATACCAATATTCCAAAACTAAACTTAAAATGTTTTAACCAAGTACTACCACCTTTTTTTCTTCCATTAGAAAGATAACTAACCCTTACACTGCAGAGAACTCATGGTATCTGAAGTTCTAAAAGGGTCTAAGTTTTATTTGCATTGATAATAGATATAAAATAAGAGTTTCACTAAAGTCACAAAACACATGACAAACAGTAAGGGAGAAGCAAGCTGTGTAGATAATCAATGAACTATATTGTTTTCATGGGAGGTGGCATCAGCAAAAGAGATGAAGAAATGAATTTTGGAGCATGGTTCCCCAATAAAAACAACTAAAAGTGAAAGCGAAGTCGCTGAGTCATGTCGGACTCTTTCTGACCCCATGGACGGTAGCCTACCAGGATCCTCCGTCCATGGGATTTTCGAGGCAAGAGTACCGGAGTGGGTTGCCAATTCCTTCTCCAGGGGATCTTCCCGACCCAAGGATCGAACCTGGGTCTCCTGCATCGTAGGTAGATGCTTTACTGTCTGAGATACCAGGGAAGTCAAAAGCAACTAAGGAGCAGCCAGAATGTATCAGGATCAACCTCTGCAGAGCTCTGGGATCTACTAAAAAATTACAACCACCAATAGAAGTTTCGGAGAAGAAAGAAGCTTTAAACTTCCCAGCTACTACTCCCCATACCCTAGACTGGCAACAACCATGAGGAAGGCAGACTGCACTCGGGGTTTAGGCTGCAACTGTCAGAGGCGGGAACACAGTTCTTGTTCGCAAAGAACTATAGTTGTAAATTTTAACTTGTCCAGTGGCTCCCAGAAGAAAGAGCACAAGGGCTTGCCTATGTTTCACTATGCTAAAATATTGAAATATCTTATTTTCAACAAAAAATTTAAGCATAGAAAAAAAAGCCAGTATGGTCCATTCTAGGAAAAAATATTAACAGAAACTGCCTATTGGCAAACCCAGTCACTGCACTTATTAGACAAAGACTTTAACTTTTAAAAATGCACAAAGAGCTATAGGAAGCCATGAACAAAGAACCAAAGAAAACCAGGAGAATGGTTTTAAAAATGAAAATGGTTTTAACATGGTTTTAAAAATGACTTTAAAAATGAAGAATATTAATACATACAAATTCTAAAAGATGATGCCATTAAAGCACTGCACTGAATATGCCAGCAAATTTGGAAAACTCAGCAGTGGCCACAGGACTGGAACAGGTCTGTTTTCATTCCAATCCCAAAGAATGCTCAAACTATTGCACAACTGTGCTCAATTCACATACTAGCAAGGTAATGCTCAAAGTTCTTCAAACCAGGCTTAAACAGCATGTGAACCAAGAACCCCATGGACCGCAGCATGCCAGGCTTCCATGTCTTTCACTATCTCTTAGAGTATGCTCAAACTCACGTCCATTGAGTCTGCAATGCCATCCAACCATCTCCTACTCTGTTGCCCTTCTTCTGTCCACAGTCTTTCCCCAGCATCAGAGTCTTTTCCAGTGAGTCAGCTCGTCACATGAACTGGCCAAAGTATTGGAGCTTTGGCTTCAGCATCAGTCTTCCAGTCAATATTCAGGGTTGATTTCCTTTAGGATTGACTGGTTTGATCTCCGTGCTGTCCAAGGGACTTTCTTCAGGACCACAATTCGAAAGCATTAATTTTACAGCGCTCAGTCTTCTTTATGGTCCAACTCTCACAACTGTACACAACTACTGGAAAAACCACAGCTTTGACTATATGGACCTTTGTTGGCAAATTAATGTCTTTGCCTTAATACGCTGTGTAGGTTTTTCATAGCTTTCCGTGGAAGGAGCAAGTGTCTTAATTTCATGGCTGCAGTCACTGTCTATAATGATTTTGGAGCCCAAGAAAATACAATCTGTTAATGTTTTCACTTTTCCCCCATCTATTTGCCATGAAGTGATGGGACTGGGTACCATAATCTTAGTTTTTGAATGTTGAGTTTTAAGCCTGTTTTTTCACTCTCTTACCTTCAGCAAGAGTGAAGTTACTCTTCACTTTCTCATCATTAGAGAAATGACTGCATATTTGAGGTTGCTGATCTCTCTCCTGGCAATCTTCATCCCAGCATGTAATTCATCCAGCCCAGCATTTGCATGATGTACTCTGCATATAGTTAAATAGGCAGAGTAACAATATACAGCCTTGTTGTACTCCTTTC